CCGTGGGAGACCAGCCAATTGATCGTGACCGGGCCTGGATCAGGCCGCCTGTTTTGCTGGAATAGAGGACCAAAGAGGCGTGTTGCTAGGCACACATGTCTGGGGCAAGAACAAAAGTGAAAAGGCCTAACGACCTCCTAAGAGGAAGGAAGCCGCCCCATAGCCGACACAGGACGTCTCCAATACAAAGGAGTTTCCGGACATGCCAAAGAAGCAGAGAAAGAACCAAAGGAATAAAGGTTCTAAGAACGCTTCAAAGCCCTCCCCAAGAGACGATGATCTCCTCTTTGATGAGGCAGACATGACACTCCTGGTGACTGCTGTAGTCACAGCAGTGGCAACAGCCCTGGGGAGGACAAGTGAAGAGGCAGAGACGGCAGTCACGGTCGCCATGACGGCAATGACCCAGACTACCACAATCCTGAAGGGAAGAAAGCTAGATAAAGCAAAACCACCCACACCCATACCCCAGGACGAGACTTCAACCCAGGCCATGCCTTCACAGGCAGAGCCAAATTAGGCTGAATCTGTGCAGCCAGAGCACACTGACCCTGCCCAGGCAAGGCCAGCTAAGAGAAACGCAGATAAAAAGTCTGAGAGAAAAGCCAAAGTAACCAAAGTCAGAGCTACCAAAGGCTCTCAACCCCCCAGTGGACACACAGATAGCCTGACTACAGACGAAGACCCCTCAACCAGCAAGGACTTCACAATGGTGTTGTCAGAGTCCGATTGTGACGGCATCTCAGATGTAACTATCATCAAGTAACATCATTGCACACAATCTAAGCATCCTACAGTAGAACATAAATGGCTTCTCCGGAAGGAATGCCATTCGCGAAGCAGTAGTGCGATCAAGGAGCATTGACATTGTCATGCTCCAGGAGACACTAATAGAGGGCACTGTTCGCTTCTCAGGGTATCATGCCTTCATGCTGCCACAATCACATGGCAAAAGAGGCTTGATCACTCTTGTCAAAGCAACAATCCCCTGTTCCGCAATAGCCGATGCACCGCACTGTGGAGACGAGGTAGAATCTCTTGCCGTCGAGATCCACCTGGCCGGGGGGCGCCTGAAACTGTACGTGTACAACCGGCCAGGCTGTAGTGGCTTAGATATCAGCCAGGTCTGTGTGACTGCTGCACAAGACCGAGTGATCATTGGGGGAGACTTCAATGCACACCACCCCATCCTGGCTCCCTGCCGGGCACCGGATGCGGCCAGCTATCACATAGGCAACATGCTTGAGACGTTCCCTGAGATCGCTCTCCTGAATACTCAAGAACCAACGCATATCAGAGGTGGGGTACTAGACCTCACCCTGGTCACTGCGACTCTGTGACCAGAGAGAAGATTAGCTGGTGTGTTGATGAGACTGTCACAAGTGACCATTACGACACGGTTACCACACTCATGGATGCTGGCCCAGCCGAAATTCCACGACCAAATCCAAGATGGAAAACAGACAAGGCCAACTGGCAGGCGTTCCAGAACGCCTTGGCCCACTGTCTGAGATGCAATGAACCCACACAAGCCGAAAATGTGGAAGTGCTCGAAGCCAGACTAATAGAAGCCATTAACCAAGCAGCGTCACTGACCATAACCAAAACTCGGTCTGGGTCCAGGTGTCACAAGGACGCCTGGTACTTTAACGACGAGATTAATCCTTCGAACACCAATTCACCCTTTCAGAGCTATGGTAACGGGTCAGGCGAGCTACCAGCCGCTCAGCCCCGAGACGAACGCACTACGACCCTCAAGCAGAGGCAAACAGACTAGCGCACGTTATCTTTTCTCTGAGGGAACTAAGAAAAGCCTTCAAATTCAGTTCTACCACAGCCCCGGGCTCTGATGGGATCATGTACCCCATCATCTCCCACCTAGGACTAGAAGGTGAACTTGCACTCCTGCAACTCATCAACAAGTCCTGGGAATCTTCCTCTCTACCACAGAGTTGGAAGAGGGCTACCATAGTTCCCATCCCAAAACCAAAGGAACCAGGGAAGTACCGCCCCATATCTCTCCTCAGCTGTTTGGCTAAGACGGCCGAGAGGATGGTACTAAACCGGCTCCTGTGGAAAATAGGACCCCCACAAGAACACCTCCATGGGTTCACCAGGGGAATGAGCACAGCACACAGCATAGTCACGCTCTTGAGCACAATTAGCACAAGCCCATCTGTGGTAGTATTCCTTGACCTGGAGAAGGCCTTTGAATTAGCAATCACGAGGTAAACAAGAGCGAGAGTTTGAGTCTGTGGTGGCCCAAGAATGTTTTCGATTACTGGGTACCAAAAAGACCTGTACCACTGCTTTGAGGCCTCAGTCTGATGGTTTGGTGGAGCATTTCAACAGTACTAGATATATACTGTCACATGATGAACCATGAATAATTATCTTACTTATAATTATGCATTTCATCTACTTTATATTGTAATAATAGTAACATATACCTCTATATAAATTGCATGCATACACTCCTCCAGAATATGCTTGTGCAGAGCAGAGCTCCATATTTTATTCACCTTTTCCTCTCAAATGGAGCAACAAAACAACATATAAAACATATACTGTGTATATATAGTACTGTAGCAGTAACCAGCGGAACTCGGATGTCAGTTTACCCATACTGTTGATGGCCTATCACTTAGTCCAGCACAAGGCGACCACCCACATTCCTGCCAAGCTGATGTTCGGAAGGGGACTGTCACTCCCGGTAGATCTGGCGACAGAGAGATCAAGACAAGTTCAGTTTAACGTTGGTAACATTCTGGATACACTGGTCTGCAGTGGAGGACGGCTTGGAGTTGGAGAAGCTGCACAACCCTTTCCGCAAGAAGGGACTAACTCCTAAACTCTGGTCCCTGGGAAGCTCCTTACAAGACCTTCCCAGAGACTGACGTGGCCTACATAATCCGTCGTGGGTCTCAGAACGCCCACGCGTTGATAACGCGTACTGCCTGTGGGAGTACTACGGCCCAGTGTAATGTAGGTGGATGTGATCCCACCTGCTGGCACCAATTATGTAATGACACTGTGGTGCTGTGTCTCCCCTCTGTCTCTTCTGTATGGTACTCCGATTGTTTCTTGAAGTGAAATGGTGATGAGTTAAAGTTGTTGCAGTTTTCAAGCACTTTTATTTGCACGGGAGTATGGTAGGTGGTGTACAGAGGTCAGGCGTGGCAGAGTCGCCCAAGGAGGAGCGAGGCCTCGTGCCACACCCGCGAGGCGAGCGGTCTCGAGAGAGAATTCGAGGTGTTGCCGAAGCCGATGCTGAAGGCCATTAAAATCGTCCGTAAGGGTCGGAATCGCTCGCTCTGGGTACGTCGGTGTCGTTCGGTTCTGGACGCAGGTCAATGTTTGTACAGGCGTTAATCACTAGAGTCCTGGGCACCGGGGGAGGGAGTCAAGGGTATGAAGAGGGAGTAGGCCATTAAACCCAGGAATATTCTCCTGGGGAAGTGGAAAGAAGCATGGAAGAATACAAGCGGAGCCAGTATGGCAATCGTGGTGGCGGTGGCTGTGGTGGATTTGAGTCAGCTGATGAGTTACTGGTGCTGTTAAATGATGTTACGTGATGATGTATTTGTATGTATGTTTTTGGCGGGAGTTTTGGAGGTGTGGAAGGGGGTATCTCGTCCTACAGAGGGGAAATCGCCCGGGACTCTCGCCTCACGGAGACATATTTACATATATATACTCTATACATTTTATTTACATATATGTCAACGGCCAGAGTTTTTGTAGTAGCATTGGAATGGTAATTTATCGGTATTTCTGACCTGGTAAGACCATTATATACCATGGATTTGGGGTTTTCCAATGGTTGTATGGTAGATGGAATGGTAGTTCGGGGGAGCTCCACATTCCATTGAAGTTACAGAGTGTGGTGTTTATCCTATGGAGGGATAAGCCTTTAGTGTTTTACATGGCACTATAGACACCTGGTCTCGGGGACATAAGGGTGATACTCTATAGGCCTTGTAAACAAGGGCACCACTGTGCTCTGTGCTGGGTCGGCACGGTCAGGAGAGGCCGAGGCGCTTGTGTGGCACATGTGCCGCAGTTCAGTACTAACTGTCGTCGAACGTGGGCGTTCGTGAGGATTTATCTTTGGTAGATTTTCCTATTTTCGGTTAAAACAGTACTGAATTCCGTGTGACCAAACGAAGTAGATGAGACAAGGGTCTGCAACTCTTCGTACTCTCCAAGGGGAGAATTTGGACTCGTCAGGAGACGAGGAAATTCGATTGTAAGAGTAAGTAACACATTAAAGGTATAAAATTATTTCATGTATTTATGACCAATTGATATAATACTGAAATAAAGTGAAGTTCACAAAAGGGAAGTAAAACTGTACGTATTATTCTTATAACAAACACTGAGCGCGCTCCGGAACAAGTGGAATAAAAAATTGTTATCCAGTGGCCTATACGCGTGAGTATATTTGGGTTATATTCCACTTGTTACCACCTTTACTCAAGGGAGTATAAAGGGTGGTAAGAAGTAGTTTAGTAGCACTCAAATGGGTGCTAGGTAACATATATACATATATATCTATATATCATATTTACATATATAATATATATTTATATATTGTATTTACACACACACACGCGCGCGCGCATGCGTTTATATATATATATATATATATATATATATATATATATATATATATATATATATATATATATGTGTGTGTGTGTGTGTGTGTGTGTGTGTGTGTGTGTGTGTGTGTGTATGTATGTATGTATAATCACACACATATACATATGTGTGTATGTGTAAGAGAGAGAGAGAAATGGAAGGAAGCAAAGATAAAGAGAAAAGGGGTTATTTTATTAAAAAGAATTTTTGTTCACTGTACTGAGGTATTCCATAAAATAGTTGGACAAATTATTTAATTTTCTATTCTAGGGCCTAAATAAGTAAGGAATATTATGGTTATTTTTTTTTTTTCTGTCAAGATAGGTATATATTTCTCAGTAATTAAGAATTGTAAACGGGAACGTAACGTCTCCAGGTGATTAGGAGCCACAATGTTGACGAAACTTTGTACTTTCGTAAGTTTCAAAATGTGGTGAGTGATCTGCTGTCGCAGGCTGTCTTTTCTTTTTCTTATTTCAGATTTGTGATATAAATCGCCATTATCGAACTATTGACGATGGACAGTATATGTTCTCACGTTATTGTATTTTAGAAGATAGACATAGCTAGTTATTTAAGCTCACTAGATTTGTCCTAGGGACCATTAAGCCTCCAAAGCAATGAATGACCACTACTGCCTACTCCGAAAGCTAGATTATGGAAGATTACTGGTCAATATGTAGAAGAGGGTAGTGGGTTACTTTCGATACAATTTTTATATTTTTCTGCAAGTGAATCCACTGCTTTCAACAATTCTAGGCATTGTTCCTTCTGCAAATGAATCGTTGAAGAGATATGATCACCATCTCCATGACAATCTTGATTTGATAGTCCCGATAGCAGGGGAGGGCTTGAAGTATATCAGGGAAATTAAGGGGTAAAACAGGACCCCCGTGGTTGTTAAACAAAACGTCCTAACCCAACATCCAACCTAACCTAACACCCATGGTGCATTTCATGCACTTAGGCCTGAAGATCTCCAGTGTGGAGTTAGCTTTCCTGTCAGCGTGGCGGTGTGGATTTAGCCTAAATTATATTCCTTGGCGTATTGGCATAATGAAATGGAAAAATCTTGGTGCATGTTTTTTTTATCTTTACTGCTTTTTCAAGCTTTTACGTTGAACTGCGTAGTTGGTGGCATAACACATGTATATTTGTGTTGTTCAACAAACTATAACACATGTACGTTTGTGTTGTTCAACAAACTGTATATATATTGTTTGCCATCTTCGCAAGTCTCCCAAGAATTTTTAGAACTGGGTGATTGTTGGCTGATTTACAAAAAAATTGCGCGGATAGTGAAGTGACCTTTTTTTTTGACACAACAAACTACATATATATTGATGATGGTAAATAAACATAATATATTTCATCATATGAGTATGGAATTAAGGAATATGTGGACAACCATTGATGTACAACTGATAATATTTTTCTTCCTTTGCTGTGTAAGATATTATGTATGCAAAGTTTTTATAATGCTAAGATTAGATTGGGGGGGGGGGGAATCCTCATATCCATTACATGGCGATATCACATCTGAGATGAAAGGGTGTCTATAATTTGCACTGATATTTTGTTTTTCTCTTTCAGGTAGAAATCATCAGAGAGGATGTCACTTCTACAATGGATTGTCAGAGGTGTACCTCGCTTGAGGTCTGGAGGAAACCCAGGTTACAATCCACTGAGATCCATAGTCCACTTATCCCGATTCACAGTTTCCTATCACTGTGATAAGAAAATGGCTCAAAAATATTCCTGTCTCGGATATCTTAGTTATGGAACTCCAATTTATAACGTAAAATGGCACAATTTCTATAGTTGTGTTTCAAGACCTTTCCCAAGTTTACTAGGAACAAATATGCAGAATATACAAAAGGAAATTAGTGTGAATAGGTCTAGCTTATCATCCAAAAATGTATCAGAGAGATTAAATGAAGGGATTGAGGAGAAATTCCAAAAAGCCCAAAAAGATTTGAGTCTGGACTATGGATCAAAGCCTACTATTCCACAAAGACTTGTACAAAATGCCCCAGAACCTTTACAAGCTTATCTTCAGCTCATGAGATTTGATAGACCAATTGGGTCATGGTTACTGTTTTGGCCATGTGGCTGGAGCATTGCACTGGCAGCAGCACCAGGGTGCCTGCCAGACCTAGGAATGATGGCCTTGTTTGGTGCAGGTGCAGTAGTTATGCGTGGAGCAGGATGCACAATCAATGACATGTGGGATAAGAATTATGACGGAAAGGTTAGTTATCTGCTAACAAGATTAATAAGTTGTTGATACTTGACGAGGTTGATTATTCCCAGTATTATTAGTCATCATGTGATTTTTTTTCTATTATTGTTATTTATATATTTGCTTTATTTTTTATTTATTAATATTTTTTTTATTGATATCAGTGATG